CCGCCGAAGCGATCTCTTTCTGTAATTTCTCTAATTGTGCCTAAAATGTACAAAACAAACATTAAAAAGAGTTATAATAATAATTAAACAATACTTTTGTCCTGAGTTTTTGAGCCAAGTTTTCAAACGTTCCCTTTTCGTAGAATTTAAAGCCTTTCTTCGGTCTCATCGCAGACTTGAGACCCATTCTGGAGTCAAAGAATTGGTGTTCACTCGAGTCGTCGGTTTGCTTGTCTTGATTTAATTTAATAAACTGCTCCTTCTTTTGAGCCCTAATATTAGCTTTAAGTGTAGGCATACGAGTGATGAGCTGGACTTCTTTGCCACTCATGTCTACAGTCCGTCCCTCGGAGTTAAGTATAAGAGGTGTAGGCTTTCCAGCCTTATCGCCGCCGCTGTTATCATTGCTATCAATATATGAATCATTAGAACTGAAGGGCACCGGGATATCATTGAAATCATACTCTTGAGCGGCACCGGCGGCCACTGTAATGTTTGGCCGGTGCGCGAGTCGGGCCTGGATTTGGGCCGTCAACTGAGCTATTCTTGTCTTGTGGTCCAATTCGGATGACATTCTCTGTGCGGGCACTACAGGCGGGGGAGGCATTGGAGTGACTGCTTGTTGTGTTTGTACTGCGGATCCGATCTGATGGTAGCAAATGAGTATTAAATGACAGCAAAGAGTGTCTCAATTCATACATTCATCTGTCGCTTCCTCTCCTCAATCTGTTTGCGGACGTCTGCCATCATTTGCGATACTTGTGATGCATTTAATTCACTGTTCACTGATGTGTTGTCTTCGGCCGACGTGTTATTGAAGCCATTGTTCACATCCATGGCAAGTGTCGGCTGTTCGCCAAACCGTGACTTCTTCGGGCCAACCATTTGTGACATTTTCACTAACGGAGAGTTTATTTAATAATAATTTTATAACAAGTTTTCAATTAAAGCACAATTAGACAATCAAACCTTACAGTTATTTGTGAGCCAATACTTACATAAATATATAAACCTTTGGTGTAAACTATAAAAGTGTGCAAACGTTATAATAATGGATACAAATATTGTCAATGAAAACACAATTAAATGACAATTAATTTGCAAACAATTGATAAATGTTTACGAAATGCAATGCAAAGCATGTATTGCTGTGAAACTGACAACTCATTCACTGCAAAGGGGTTTGTTTTCATATAGTCTAACGCTATTCAATGCACTTTAGCTCACAATTAGTTCATTGTTTCATACATTTAAACGCTTTTGTGATTATGTGTTCATTATTTGTATTGAAATAAAACTAATTTAAATAAATCACTCAAAACTCAAACAGTGATGGCATTGAAACGTATTGAAAATATTTTCATGAATTGTCTTTAAATCGGTATCAAAGGGATCGACACATCATTATAATTATGTTTACATTTATTTACATATTAATTGCAATTTAAATACATGCAATTGTATTTAAATCAATTAAACACAATGAATGTTACAATTGAAAAATAATTACATATACACTAAATAAATATGAAATGAATAATAAGTATTTGAATTGAAAATGAATTGAAGATTAAGTGAAAACCCCTTTGAATGGAATTTAGCGCCAAAAGTGGCTCACATTTGCTTTTGGTTTTGATTGGCATTTGTGTTGTGTTTTGAATGCAATTTATTCACATTTGTTGATGAGATATGTGTTTTCAATCATCAATTGAATGATTGGTTGCAATGGAAAGCGTTTCTTTGAATCTGGATTTGGATCACAATCCCGAAGATGACGACGACATCGACGACCGACACAAAGAGGTGAGCGTTGAAGGCATACATCCATTGATTGGTAAATAACTCACCATTTATCACTCAATCAGATCCAGGGGTTGTTGTCAACAGCTTTCGATGATTTAAGTTCATTGAGTGAAGACGAGGAGGAATATAGCAATGAGTTCAAGAGGTTTAGTATTAATGGTATTAATGGTGACAATGAGTGTCTCGACACACAAACCAATGGCAATGGAAACCATTGGAACCACATGTATGTGAATGGCTTGACCTCAACGCCTCGGGTTTACCACCAATTGTATCCCAAATCAAAAAACAATTTGTGGCCACAAGTGTCCAAAAATCATCTCAATGTCAGTGATATTCTTGAGGACGAAGAGGAAGAGCTGCACAAAGGAGTGAATGGAGACCTCGAGGTCAACGACAATGAGTTTTGTGTGGAAGACGTGAACAACCAAATGAA